CGCTTCTAGTAACAAGTGCCTTACTAGTAGTAACAAGACGCTGCTAGGGGCTCCTGGCCTTACTAGTAACAAGAAGCTACTAGGAACAAGTGCATCGCTTCTAGTAACAAGGGCATCGCTACTAGGAGCAAGACGCTACTAGGGGCTCCTGGCCTTACTAGTAACAAGAAGCTACTAGGAACAAGTGCATCGCTTCTAGTAACAAGTGCTTTACTAGTAGTAACAAGACGCTACTAGGGGCTCGTGGCCTTACTAGGAACAAGAAGAAACTAGGAACAAGTGCATCGCTTCTCGTAACAAGTGCCTTACTAGTAGTAACAAGACGCTACTAGGGGCTCCTGGCCTTACTAGCAACAAGAAGCTACTAGGAACAAGTGCATCGCTTCTAGTAACAAGTGCCTTACTAGTAGTAACAAGACGCTACTGGGGGCTCCTGGCCTTACTAGTAACAAGAAGCTACTAGGAACAAGTGCATCGCTTCTAGTAACAAGTGCCTTACTAGTAGTAACAAGACGCTACTAGGGGCTCGTGGCCTTACTAGTAACAAGAAGCTACTAGGAACAAGTGCATCGCTTCTAGTAACAAGTGCCTTAACTAGTAGTAACAAGACGCTACTAGGGGCTCGTGGCCTTACTAGTAACAAGAAGCTACTAGGAACAAGTGCATCGCTTCTAGTAACAAGTGCCTTAACTAGTAGTAACAAGACGCTACTAGGGGCTCGTGGCCTTACTAGTAACAAGAAGCTACTAGGAACAAGTGCATCGCTTCTAGTAACAAGTGCCTTACTAGTAGTAACAAGACGCTACTAGGGGCTCGTGGCCTTACTACTAAGGGCTCCTGGCATCGCCTACTAGGAGCAAGGATGCTACGAGCGGGGCACCGATCGGTCACTTCCCGGAGCTGCCCGTCCTGTCTGTTTCCAGTCGAACTTCCAAGGGCCGATCCAAGGAACTGGTCCGTTGCACTTTTAGCTTCTTGTTATTACTAGTAAGGCACTTGTTACTAGTAGTAAGGCACTTGTTACTAGTAGTAAGGCACTTGTTACTAGTAGTAAGGCACTTGTTTCTACTACTTGCACTTCATTCGATCTCTCAGTTCCAGGTCTTTCACCAAGCTACTGGGTCCGGGCATTTCAGCTCAATCTCGCATTGTTCGCCCATCCATCCCTCATGGCATTTGCAGGTGCCTTGCCCAACAATGAAAGCACCAAGACGACAAAACTCGTAATTCTTGCCTTGATTCTCCCCAAAGGCGTGGTTGTGAACATCGTTTACTCCCATATAGTGCAAGTGAGCACCACTTTGGGCTTCTTAGGTGTACAATTGTATACAAGTCCTTCCCGCCTGGAATGGGACAATCTCCATGACCGTTGCAGCACATGGGCAGTGAGCAATCCACTCCACCCCAGCCGAAGAAGCAAATGCATTGCCCTGCTGATAGAAATTGGTGGTGAGTTCACACTGACTCACACTCAAAAGGATCCGCATGCCATGGTCATACAATGTTCAACTGAAAAAAAACATCGACTCAGACCGAACACCTTCTAATTCAAGTTTGCCTAGCAACATATGTATAAACCTACAATGAAAAATGCAATATACACAGTGAGTATGCAATTACTCATAATAATTTAGGCACTAATGTTTGTTATTTACTTTTTGAGCGAAAGAAAAACGCATCCACAGTACAACGATGGTTCTTCGAGGAAACTTCTAATTGCGCAGCTGGTTCTTCTGGCCTCCGGCGCAAGCACCCTTACCGCTGCAGCCACTGGGGCAGTGGTTTTCACAGGCAAGACCTGTGTAGTTCGCCATGCAACTGCAAGTGCCATCCACCTCACACCTGCCACGACGGCAAGCAAAGGGTTTGATAGGGTGGCTCCATGAATAGTTCAACGGTTGATGTGCCAAACTACATTATGCATTGGTTCCAAGAATATAGACCAAGAGAAGCGAGTGAGACAAACATAAAGAAATAAAACATCATTGAACAATGACTGCTGAATGTAAGTGATACACTCACCGCTCCTGTTCGTGTGGATGAAAAAGCATGGAAAACACTGAGCAGGATATGAGTGGCTTCAAAGCTGCACTCCCAGAAAAACAAGTGATTGTCTGTTCGTAGCCACGAAGCCGCTTTCTACCTCTTACCAAACGCTTTTGATCCTGCCTGCCCTTGTGATTGCAATCTTCTGGGCAACTAGGTGGAGCGATGCTCTTCACTTTCTTGGTGTCCACAACAGGCAACTCCTGCTCAAGTCGTTGCAAAATCTAGAGTCAAGCTCAAGCTCTGAAGCAGCACAAATCATGCGCCAGTTGTGTGGGGTCTTGCCCGTATGCCCTCATTAAAACACAACTTGGTGATGTTGCAATGCCTTCTGGTTGCACTTCTGAGTAATTGATTTTCCCCAAACAGTTTACTGTTGAGGTTCTCTCTTAGGAAAAAAGGGCTGGCCACACTGGCTGGCCGCGCCCCTTGAACTCTGTGTCCAGGTCCTGTCTTCCTCTAGTCCTCCTCTTGTCCTGTTGCTGTCTTTTGGCCGCGCTGGACAACCCTCCTCTTTTCCTTCATCTGTTTGTCCTCCGTTGTCCTCATGTCCTCCTGCTGTCGTGCTCTTTACGCTGCTGTGCGAGGCAGGGAACAGCAGTTCTTACCGACTGCAACCTGTTTGGGGGCTATGCTTATATAACTGTTTACTACGACAGCAAGTTGAGCCGAAGTCTGGGTCTGCATCTGGTCAGGAGCGGTGGCCCCCACGGCGCCACGGTCACACTTGGGGCCTCTTCAGGTTTTGCCTGGGGCACAATGATCTTTGGCATGGGCGCACGCTCTGCGCAGCTTAAGCCCCGATATCCACCAGTACCTCGGCAGGTGACCATCTTCATGCTAACAAAAAGCACCAACAGGCTGGACCAACATTTGTGCCAGGCTGCACACGCACTTGCCACTGTCGCAGTAGCCGTGGCCGTTGCAATCATCTTTGCAGCGTGGGAACTCACCTCAATGGTCTTATGCTCTGACGATTTGCAAATACTGGAAGCAAGCACAAGGTGTCGCTTGGTTACTGGTGTAGCACCTCAACAATATAATTTGGCCTTCCATGCAACTTTGCTTGCCGCACAAGTGACATGGCCAGGTTGGCACCATTATCTGTCCGAGTGACAAGCTGCGCCGTAGAAAGCGCTATCACAAGCACATCTGCCGTCCAAACAAGAACCTCGACCACTGCAGTCATCCTTGCAATGCACCTGAGCGATCAAGTAGGGTTTCTGTATGTCTACAAGCAAAATCTTTTTGGCGGCCATCGCTATTAAAAGGGTGCAGGTCATCTCTATTAAAAGGTTTAAAGGGTGAAGGCTATCGCTACGAAAAGGGTGGAGGCCATCGCTATTAGGTTGGAAGCCATTGCTACTAGGGTGGAGGCCATCGCTACTAGACTGGAGGCCATCGCTATTAGGTTGGAGGCCATCGCTATTCGGAAGGAGGCCATCGCTATTGGGTTGGAGGCCATCGCTACTAGGGTGGAGGCCATCGTTATTAGGTTGGAGGCCATCGCTATTAGAGTGGAGGCCATAGCTATTAGGTTGGAGGCCATCGCCAGTAGGTTGGAGGCCATCGCCAGTAGGTTGGAGGCGTCGCTATTAGGTTTACTTCTGGACCTGATGTGAGCCTTCACTGCAGAACATGTTGGATTGTCCTGCCAACAATCTGCTGCATAGCTAGTGCAGGCTGTGCTTACTTAGAAAGGTCCAACATCTGCAATGGTTGAGAGACTGCCACTGCCACATCATGCACATCATTGCTTTCAAGCTTTCGTTTGAGCGGCAGGGAAAATGTGTTTGTTGAATCCAATCATTTGGAAAAAGCAGGGCACTTGAATCCCTTTGATGTCAATATGTGCCCTCTTTATGTATGTTCACAGGATTTCACAGGTTTCCTTTGCCAAGCAGCTCAAAATAGGGTCACAACACACTAAAACACCGCAACAATGACGACGACAACAACATGAGAAGCCGTTCGCAGGAGCTATCCCAGCTCGAAATTCTTGTGATCCAACCCAGTTAGTTGAATTCACAACCCTCCAAGGCCTCTCTATCCTATCCGCTTCTCCAAGGCACTACGTCGCATGCCTCACCTGTGTAGCCGTCTTCGCAGCGGCAAACACCCATGGAGCAACTGCCATGACCTCGCAAAACCACACCGCAGGTGACATTGCCAGGGTGACACTGCAGGCAGTTGGATGGGAGAAGTCATAAAGAACCATGAAGATTACATTCCTGGTGTCATTGCAAACATGTGATTCATAACCTTGCTTAAGGGTTGCAAAAGACAGCATGAGGCAACTGCAAACGAGGAAAGAAAGAGGATTCAAACATGCCTCAAGGTCCCAAAAAACACAAAGCAAGTGAAAAAAGAAAACCTGGACCATACACGACTATCTTACAAGCTACAAGGAAAGCAAGTAGGTTGGAAGTCATCGATGCCATCGCTATTAGTTTGTACATGACACACTCTGAACAAACAAATGAACAAACAAGCTCCTAATAGCTCTTTGTTCCTAGTAGCGATGCCAGGAGCCCCTAGTAGCGTCCTCTTGTTCCTAGCAAATGAAAGAAGGTTTCACATCTCCAAGTCGCCACTACAGTCATCGATGCAAGAGCCGCTCTCCCTCTTGTGGTGTCTCAGCTGGGAGATGTTCGGACCTGACGCAAGCACAGCGAAACCACCTCACACAAACCCGCAAGCAGAAAACACCTCCTGTTCCAGGCCAAAACAGTCTCGTCCTGGTGTGTTGCCAGTTGCCTGAGGTACCAGTTTTCACTCACATGTTCAGGCAAATCAAAGCAGCGCCTGCGGTTGTGGTACCAAGTCGGAAAATCGTTGTTGATGGATGTAGGTAGTGGCTGAGGCTATCCATGAGTCCTATCATGCGTGGCAGGCGGCAACTGCAGGTGCTTACGGCGCTTATGGTTAGTCCGTATCATTCGTGCTCTTGGGAAAGCCAAGCCTGGCCAAGCCGGATCCAATCAGTAGCTGATGTTTCTGACTTGCTGGGAGGAAGGATGACACCAGGCGTCACAAAGTGGCACTTACCTCACTTGGTCCTTGTGCTTCCCGTAGAGGTGAATCTTTGAGAATCGTCTCTTCTGCTAAGGATGCACTCTGAGAAGCCTGGCTCAGCATATTGATTTATACTTCCATCAATGCTGGGAGTACGCTGGAATTGATACTGTGGTGCAATAAGAGTTTACCGTTTACCGCAAGTGCATGAAGTGCTGTGGCAGCGGAAGTGGAATCTCAATACAGTATCTACTTACCTGACTTACCTTTCAACATTACTGTAAATCATTACCCCCTCCCTACTGTACCATTTTTGGGGCAACATGGCATGTGGCGTGGGTAGGGTATATCAAGTCCATTGTTTTTGTTCATGAACGGATGCATCTTTTTTGGCTGGCTCTCTCAAGCGACCTCTGAGTCTTTGATTGCCGCCACATTGAGCAGCGCATTGTGGGAGGCCTGCTTGTGCGCTGAACATGAGCTAAAGCGGACGAGTTTGGCAGTCACCAGTCGCAAAACAGAGTGCGGACGCACATGTCATCCGGGCGTGCCATGGCGTGCCTGCATTGTCTCCTTGAGAAACATCTTTGAGCTTGATAGTGCGAGAGTCTCCTGCCAACTGGCAACCCTTGGACCCTCAAGTCCAGGTTGCTGCGACTTGTTCGACAATCTCGGACAAGCCGCTAGCCACAAGAAAGTAGCAGCTGATGTGCAAAAGACTTGTAGAATTTGTGAAAACACCTCCCTTTGCCATGCTTTGTCGGACAAAAACACATCATCTCAGGAGACTCCAATGCTTCGGCGTCCTGAGGTGCCTCTGCGATGTGCCGCGCCCGCTGGGCCGCCACCTCCATGGCAGTGGAGGGTCCAGGAGACCGCAGCGCCTTCCGCCGGAAAAAGCGAGTTCAACCTACTAGCCTTCTTGTTACTAGTGGCTTCTTGCTCCTAGTAGCGATGCCAGGAGCCCCTAGTAGCGTCCTTGCTCCTAGTAGTAAGGCCAGGAGCCCTTAGTAGCGTTTCTAAAAGCGATGACCTCCAACCTACTACGAGTCTCCTTGTTAGCAAAGCTTTTGCATGTTCCGTGTGGGCCTCAGCTGATTCTCTTGCATGTTCCAAAGCGCTGACGACGTCTGGTACATGAACTGGAGGTGCAACCTTGATCCACAAGGACAGTTTGGAGGAAAACACACACACACCAAATGCCCCAAGTTGTTACTCCCAAATCTGGTGTTCAGAATACTTGTTACTCTCTTGAGCACAATGATTGCACGAAAAAAAGATCTTACAGTCCTGTGGCACTTGCCAATCTTCCACATTAGTAGGTCCTGGTAGCTTCTTGCTCCTAGTAGCGATGCCAGGAGCCCCTAGTAGCGTCCTTGTTCCTAGTAGCGATGCCCTTTGTTACTCGTAGCGTCCTTGTTCCTAGTAACACCTTAAAAGCAAAGCCAATTTATTCCTGGACATGGCTGCCTGAGCTTGAGCCTTTTCAACTCCGTGCTGGACCTTTGCTGGACCTTAGGATGTTTCACGCGTTTGACACGGTGTCCTTGTGGGCCAGGGTGCTGGCTGCTCGCAGTTCTCGCCTGCGTAGCCCTCGTGACAGTGACAAACTCCATCGATACAATGCCCTTGTGGCTCAAGGCCTCGGTACATCGAGACAAAAGGACGCTACTAGGAGCAAGGACGCTACTAGGGGCTCCTGGCATCGCTACTAGTAACAATGTTCGCTAC